ACTTATCTTCTCAATTAAATATACTTTAATCCCCACCAGGACCATTTCRAAGCTGACATCATCTGAAAGTCTTCCACTGCCTTTATTTAGAAGGTAATTAGCACTCAGGCCATCAGTGCAATCTGCACACCAGGACAGCCCAGCTTTTAGGCCTGGGCACTATCACCTCCAAACTCCTGCGTATCTTTTGGCCATAGCAGCATGACAGAGCATAAAGTACTCTGGGAGGGGGTTTGATTAACTTTCTACCAGCTGTTATAAGTGAGATAACAMCTAATGCAGTGCTGAGTCTGCCAGAACAGTTTTCAGAGGAGTTTCAATGAGTTTAAATCAGCAGTGAGACTGCACAGGTTCAGGGTTACAGTTTTGATCGTCACAGGATTTTAATTCTCTCATTTATTTAATCAGAGAGCAGCATCTCAAACATGAGGTTTATTATTTTGTGAATGTATGACCTATATAGCAGAGTATAAACCAACCAACTTCAGCTCTAACCTTTCAGGAGTGCACTTCACTCAACAACCAACTCTAGCTGAGGTATTTTTTTCAAAACCAAGTAGGAAACGCACTAGAATTATAAATTCAAAGGTACAGTTTGTAACCCTAACAAAGTAAACATGCTTCATTCTAGCACTATTGCAATGTAAGGACTATTTCAGAATTTCAGATGGAAGGTAAGAAGTTCTGTATCTACAACCACTTGAAGACATGCAATAACAAGAAAACCCGAACTGTCTGTGTTGAGTACTACGAAATATAAGTCTGTGGTCACAACTCAATCCTAAAGTAAACAAGCCCTGAGGAAGCAGACAGTGCAAACAAGCTTCCTTACATTAAAAAAAAAGGAAAGTTTCAAAGTTAGGTTGACTGCTGACTGGCAGATTACTAATGTCCATATTGCCACTAGCCTGTGAGAATACCATGACTTTAAGCCTAAATTCCAAGACATCCAAAAATCACAACCAAAGAGGCAGATTTTCCAAAAATASTAAACACTTCCACAAAGAGGTTAATAAGTATTCCAGTACTAAATATTGAGCCTTTTTGAAGGTTCTCTGACCACAAGCATCAAACAGCTGTAGCATTCATTCTGCAGCACAACCATCTTCAGAAGCTCTATCCTGTTACAGGCAAAGGAGGTATTAAGCTCACTTCTCAAACAGAACAGAAGCAGATTCAGGAACACACATTTCCAAAATTAAAAATAAAATCTAACTTTCTAGCTGGACCATCCAAGATGGTCTGAAACACAGCACAGTTAAATACAAAAGACAAACCTCCAGTTACACCTAATGTCAAAATACTGAAGGAGTCAAGGAAACAGGATAACCAAACACAAACACTGAGAAGAGATACAAAACCCTTGGGATTAGAGATGATGGGTTTTTAAATCTTTTACAATCTTGGTTTCAACATTCTAACTCAGTTCATCAATTAATCACAAGCTGATACATGATCCACCKTACAAATGCTACGTACACATTCTCTGCAGAGCAGCTTTGTCACCTACACCACAAACCAACCCCTCTGATTCTCAGCAGAGAAGGTCTTGTGAGAACTGAGAACTACAGGAGTGCAGCCATTTTACAGTGTAGAGCATTCCAACACAAAACCCCCAACTCCTTCAGTAAAGCCAAGTGGAAGGGRTGCCATGCAATCTGTAGAGAAACTGGAGTTAGTGTGCTGAACTGGAATTAATGCCATGCACAAGGGGCTGGAAAGAGGTTGCACCAGGAGGAGAAAGCATTACAAAGTTCTTGTATTCACCAATGAACTTTGAAGCAGAGCATGAAAGAGTGAATGACTCAGCAGGTTCAAAAACTCCATCTTAGTTTTTCCAAACCACTGGGGAAGCTTGATTTAAATGGGATGGTGTCTTTAAACATTCAAAATTAATCCCTCATGTAAGAAGAGATGGCATTTTTAATAGAACAGCACTTGGGATTTGAAAGTTGCCTCATCCCAGTGTACATTTGATGCCTAGATTTGCTATGAAGAATCTTTTCTGTTACTATTTTGTATTATTTTGGCCAAAATTGAAGTTTATGGAAATTTGCTGCCCTTGATAATCTATCAATTCTAGTGAACAGGTMTTTTACATCCACGCAAATTATATATTAGACAGGAACAACATAAATTTTTTTAGCGAAGCAACCTAACAAGTGGGTTTTCATGTGAATGTCAGTAAATTCAGCAGAAGAAATTCTGAATATAACCTGGAATATGAATTTATTTTGTGATTTAAAAATTAAGCTGGATGCAAGAAGTTGCATCAAAAAAAAAAAAAAATGTTGGATGTGGTGTTATTTCAAAAAACAAACTGAAAGAAATGGAGACTATTAGGTTTAGGTCAAGTGTAAGAAGACAGTTTTCTACATCTGGAACTGGAAGTGCCGCCCCAGTGATTTGGACGAAGAGCACATATCCAGTTCAACCACCAGCCTATGGAAATGCTGGTGTGTGAGTATCTCACTCCTGCACAAATCTACTGCCAAATTCGCCTTCTGCTGACTCATCCCTTGTGTTTTGCCAGCTTCTCTTTCCACCAAGGAAGTGCAGCACTGCCATTTTAATGCTGCATTTTGGCCAGCTCTGACAACCAGAAGGATCTGAAGGCAGAACAGAGACTATCCAAAACACTGGATCTGGAGCACATTTAGTGTCAAAAGATTTCACTACAGAACCCTGAAGTGACCTTTTTGTGTAAYACTGTGAGAAGGACCACAATTTTCTAGGTAAGAAGGTAAGTACTTGGGTAGAGATTTGCCACCCTAATTGTGTTCTTAACCTGAGCAAGGTAATTTAGATGTTGAAGAAGATGACCTGGGATAAAACTGGAAGGCGAAGTTTGGCACTTTAATATAAAACCTATCCACAGGAAGGCATTCAAACTCAACTCCAGATTGTCCTAATTTTATTTGACTTGGTTAATCAATTTTAAAGCAGTTTTTACAATTTACATAATTTAAAGGAGCACACTGCATCCTATAAATATAAATTAACATTTTTAATAACTCAAGACATCACAACAAAGCCAAATTTTGAAATAAATGTCATGTTTAGTTATCTGGATCAAGAGGTAACATACATGGGGAGGGAAAAAACAGCATTAACAAGAAAACACTGTTTAGTTCTAAACTAAGTTTGTGCTTCTACATCAAAAACACAACACTGAGTGACAGGAACTCTGCAAAGAACTTGAAAAGATACAGAAACTGCTTTAGTCCCAGAACCAAAGTACATATTTATTTTTTCTTCTACATATTATTTTTTTCAGTTCTATCAAATTAGCATTAATGGTAGAGGGACGAAAGTACAATATACTAACTTTACTGCAAATATTAATTCTGTTGTAGCAGTTTGTTAGCCTGGTTTGGCTTAAGTTGAAATGGTTTTCCTGCATGAAAAACAAGAGCATATCTTTTCAATGTATTTAATAATCAACACATTTGTTAGTACAAAGCAGATGGTGTTCAGCAAGAAGGCATTAGGTGATCATTTGAAAACACCATGCTTTTTTTTTTTAACACTAAGCCACCCTGAAGACTTTTGTGAAGGCCAGATGTTCAAAGCTGGTGCACAGGTGAAAACAGCACATCCATGATTTATGCATGGAACTATCCAGAACCTGGCAGGTGTTAACATATGCCATTAGTTACCTGCATATTTTCTCTGTGACACCAAAACCAAATCAACTTTCACTWAACTTTGAAAATCTGGTCTTAGCTACAAATATACACTTTACTTTACTCCATTAATCCAACAAAGGGCATTAATCCATCTTTCGATTTTTGGCTGAGAACTAAAAATAAGAGGGARATATTATAATCCTAATAATTTTGTCCAAATCTTCAAAGCAATTATTATTTGTTCTCAAAATAGCAAAAAATTTCATCATTCTGAAAGTATTTTTGTAATAATTAAATGTTAAATAAATTCATAAAATTTATATTTATATTCACTACAGATTATTTTTGAAGCAAATATCAGAATTTAAAACTTCAGAAAACTTAAGAGTTACTTTAGGCCTAGACCTAAAATAATTACATATTAGGGCAAAAGATGGAGTTAGAGAGTCAGCCTCTGAATGCTTCTTAAAAACAGGTGCTTCAAATACAGGTTTAGAAACGAAATTAAAAATCATGTTTTCAGTCACAATGAAGAAAACATCTGCATAGAAAAAAGGCCCTCATCCTTAAGACTGAAGAAAAAGATGGTAAGAAAAAAAAAAAAAAGCACCGTTTTCCCAAGTTGCCCAAATTACACACAGACACAGGAAGGTTACAAATGCCATTCATGAAAGAATGCACCACAAACATCAGCATTTATTCATTTTGATTTTTTTTTAGCAAATGACAAAAGACTCAGCTCACTGGCTTCACTTTTACCTTTTGCTTACATTACACATTTAAACATTTGTCAAAACTTACTAAAGTTGTCTGCATTCATGCACAACTAGAAAACATCCTTAATTTATTTAAACCAGAAATGCATTACCAGAAATGTATTAACATTGTTCACTACTAAACATTAAAAAAAAAAAAAAAAAAAGTTGAAATTATTAAAAAGATTATCCTGGAACTGTTAACTTCACAGCAGACTTAAACTACTAATTGGCTCACATTTCAAATTGGAAAAAGCAAGATTCATGCTAGTGTTAGTGTACATATCGCCCTAGCACTACTGAAGGATCATGGTTCACCTTGATCACAGATAAGAAAAGAAAAGTGCATACAGAAGTTTACAACAATTTTAAGGACAAAAAATGGTCCAATTGATGTGGTCCCAACAATAAACTCAAAAGTCTATGACAAATACGAGCTTCTGTGAGCTACTTATACTACTTAAGATTGAGTACGGATATACAGAAAGTTGAATTCATTTGAAATCTTCAAAAAATGTTCCTGTCAATCCTCAAATGGTGGCTGTTATAGCTTAAAATTTCTGTTAAATGCGTGCGTTGAATTACTTGTTATCCAAGCGTAGCAGCTGCTCCTTACCATTTATTGTTAGCGACCTTAACTGGCCATCTTCTTCAACTTCTACTCTCTCTTGTCCATTCTCAAAAATCCTGCAGGACAAAAACATCATGAGCCATTTTAGAGCACTGCAGGCAGTTTTAAACAGAYCAGACCTTGGGTTTAGATAACAAACCATAAGGGAGCACCACCTGCTTAATACAACTGCACTTGGCAAGCTTTGGTATTTACCAGCATCRGAGCTGCCACCAGTAACCATCTGCATTTCCTCACTGCTTATTCAGGAAAATTGCCTTCTGGAAGCTGGAATTCTCCTGGATGTAGAGTTCACAGTTACAGCTGTCACCTCATACACTGTCACAGTTGTGCTGTTATCTAGACCTAAATGCCTTGACAGATCAACTGCACAATCTTGACATTGCATTTAGTCCCTATCCATTTGTTAAATATATGATATTCTAGATCCAGTCACAATTTTGCATGATGTAAGGCATGCAAGACAGTCTTAATCCACTTTTAATTTGATTACAGCAAGTAATTTGCAGACCTAATATAGACCAACTGTATGACCAGCATGTGTATTACAAAATTCAARTATCCCTGATTGAAAATAGGGACTATTAAAGAGCTTTTGAGTTTCCAGATTTTTCTGGAATACGCTCACAGAAAAATATGACCACACCAGCATGTGATGCCAAAGGCTGTTTTCAAGGGGCCAAGATGACAGGAGCTGTCCAGTACAGCAGGTCACAGAAGAACCTTGCACTTAGAAGTACAGGACACAAGTTAACAAAAAAATTCTTCTTCCTTTGGTTTTCTGTAATTCTTTATTAAGTACTGAAATTACATTTAACTACTTGTTCAGTCTCCTCTATTGGTCATAATCTTCCATGTAGACTACTCTATAGCTAACTAAAATCTGGGTTTCCTGAATGCAATGATTCCCCCATCATAAGCATGAAATGAAGGTGCACTGCATACAGTACTTGAAAATGCACTTTCCAACAAACATTTGTGGGCATATTTTTCTCCAAAGCAGGCTGCAGTTGCTTATTTCACTTAACAGACAGCAGAAAATTATTAGAAAGACTTCACTCAAATACTACCTAGGAAAGTACACTAAGCAGATGTTAGGGAAAATCCTTTCATAATGTCTGCACAACTAAACATCTTCCAAAATCCTCATTAAAAGCTTCACAATCAATAGAAACCAAGCACATTTTTCTTCCAGAAGTTCAAGCTGACTGGGCAAACAAGAGTTAAGGACCATAATTAAAAGGTGCAGCACTACACAGGAAGTTCTGAAGCCTGAAAGAGCTCTAGCTACAGCATTAATTAACTCAGCAGTGCCAAGAAGAGACAACCCAAGAAAATATTTCAAAATGTTTATAAGCATTCAGAGAAATCCAAGTAATGTGATGAACACAACAAAACTACATACATGTACCACTGCATGTATGTGTGCAAAGATATAGTATATTTACATGCAAGTAATTATAAGTATCTACCTATAGTTTCATACAAATATATTTATATCCCTTACCTCTTTGTAGTAATTTTTCTGCCATTAACTATTTTTGTTGAGGTTGATACTGATTTGAAGTTTCCCATCCCACTGCCACCAAATGACGTAGAGGAGAACGATGAAGTAAGGCCTCCATGTCCCAGTGAGCCAAATGAAGTAAAACCTATTGAAAAAGAAGGCATTTGACTAAAAATATAATTTTGCACAACTTTGAGATCCAAATTTATCATCCACMCAGATTACATCCTACTTTCAGGAAGCCCTCAGCTGGTTGCATCACACAGCTTCAGTGACTAGATGGCATTAAACACCGATATGAGAATAAAACCACGGCTCCAGCCCCATCCATTTCTCTCACATGGACCCACAGTTAAAGTTCCAAATTCACAGCATGGTCCGAAATCGCTTCATCAACTCCACCCCTGAAAAGGTATTCAAACCTATCAGCTGCACTCAACCTTTATCCATTCTCTGCACTTGGGGGCAAGCCAGCAACTCTAATAAATCTGATCATCTGCTTTAGTGCAGATGTTGGGATGCCCTGAGCTGGCAGACAGAACAAGTCCTGTATCAGTAACATTCCAACCAATACCCAGAATTTCAACCCTCTAAAGGAAACTAACTGTCAGCAATTCCCAGCAGCCTCCAAGATAYATGTCAGCACTCAAACTGAGTAGTACCCTGGTGTTTAGGCACCCATTTTTCAGGACTTTAAATAAAAAMCACCACACTCCTAAAAGTAAACAGCACAAAAGATTTCTAAAGCTATAAAGAAACTGTAGTACCAAAAAAAAGAACACAGAAAGTTCTACTTCTTAAGAGATCTGTTCACTTTACATGAACTTTCAGGTAGCCCAAATACATAACTATAGCTATATTTATATTTACACCTTAGAGAGTAGCTTTATTAAAATTTAAAAATCAGCCTCAGAACTTGCTGAATAGAAAAGCCAGCCTATTACACTGCGATCCTTTGTGAGCCAAAATTGCAATCTTTCTTAAATGTTGTGGTATTTACCTGTGTCAAATGGAGAAAAACCACTTCCAAAAGCAGGGAATCCACCAAAGGCAGTGAAAAATGATCCACCACCTCTGTTTCTGCTTCCTCTTGGACCCCGCCTGCCACCAAAGAAGTCCTCGAAAGGGTCTTCTACAAAACAAAAGACAACATTTAAGAGGTCAACATTACTGAGTGACTCTGTATTTAATCATTAGGGATGCTTTCTTAAAACAAAACAGTTTTTGTTACAGTTAAGATWTTTTTTTTAAATATTTGAAGCTACTGAACTAAGATTTCCCCAAAGGCAATTCCTATGCTCCTTCTAAAACTAAATCCTGCTTCACCTCTGGACCTAAAAATTTTATAAAGGAAGGTGATTTCCTTATTTTACCTGATTAGCATTAAAAACCAGTAAACCKAATGAAAAATACTGCTCACAGGTATCCACCTTTCTAGCTTATTTCTATTTGAGATTTATTGTGGATCACTATGATCTGAAAAATAACTTCCAGATAGGTTGTATTAATTATTGAAATCTAAAAACAGCAGCCAGGGATCAGTGACTCATAATTCTAAAACGCTCCAAGTGTTTAATTTAGCACTTGCTACATTAGATACTCCAAACCCGTATTCTGATGCACATTTAGCAGCAAAGTATGGAGGTTTACATATCGTGTCCCAAGGARACATTCAGTCCATACCAAGCAGGAGGGAGAGGGGAAAAACAGGGAAARGGGTCATGGATAAAATGTTATTTCAAATTCAAGTTCCACTGTTCTGTCATTCAGAACAGCTATTGTTCTATCCCCATCAGGAGGACAATAGTCTCTTTCCAAAAAGAAAAAAGGAGTGGGGGATGGGGGGASATGGGACACACGACGACAGGCCATGGGGTACAACACCAGCACCTATACAAGCAATCTTAATTCACTAGAATTATCAGAAAACTGTTTTTTTTCTACTTATCTTGAGACAAAGAACAACAGAACAAAAACTGCAATCATAAAACATAAAGTCAATAAACAYAACACCTGCATTAAAACCAGGAAAGTTTAGGAACTAGAACTACTCTCTTCATCAATCACAACTCTCCCAGAATAAGTGTTGTAGAGTACAACACTATGATTTTACCAAGTTTTGCAAGTAGAGACTCAGTATTGAAATGCACCAGTCCRAAACACTGCTCGGAATAAACTTTTAGTGAAAATGCAGAACCTTGTGATAGCAGCAGTAGGTACAAAAGCAAGGGAAGACTTGTGACTGCCTGACTGTTCAGAACTACAGCTTACAAAGTGAAGGTCAGAAATGCAGTGTTTGTTCCACTTCTGGTAYCTCCATAAAAATCCAAGCTGATTTATGATAAATCACCAAGTTAATGCAATATGCATTATGCATCATTAAGTAATCAATATGATATTAAAAAKATGTAAGTTACCATCTGGTTTATGTGTAATTACTTAAATGTGAAACATCACAATGTATTTATGTTGAACAAGGGCAGCTGCTAAAAAATAATACTACCCCTCCCCAACCTCCACAGTTATTGAATAAAACAACACTAAACTTTTATCTYACATACAGTAGGCAAGCGATAAGATTTTTTTTCTACCTCAGACACTTTCTGTTTTGTAGTTTCTTTTTTTTCCTTGTAAAGCAAGTTTTCCTCAATATAAAGATGACTTCTTAGTATTATTATAGAAATAAACCAACTCTTGGGCATGGAAATATGGGAATTATTACAATTTCCAAAACAAGCACTATGTCCATTTTTYAAAAAGACCAGTTTTGTCAGTCTAGCATATCAACTAGCAAGTACAACCACTGCAGTTAATTGTTYTGTAGTCCAATTTATTCTCACAGGAATGACTCATAGGTTAGTTATGAAGGTCATTCACTCACGTGTACAAATGATCTATATTATATTACTCCCACTGTTAAGCTTTCTATTTATAATCCAAATTTTCTTGTTACCTGGAGCTTGAATAAAAACAAAACAACCTATCATGTAAGCTCTGAGTTTTTAATCTCCCATAGTGTATCAGCCTATTGTGCAAGTGAATCTCTCCTCCCCGGCACAACAGCTGCAGAAACAAAGTTATTTAAGGGAAGATCTTGGACTCTCCCAGAGGTCCCTGATATCAACCCAGCTTCTCAATGGATTACTGCCACACCAAAATCTAACCAAGACTTGGCCATGCCTTATCAGCCTGCAGAGCAAAGAAAGAGGTCAGCACTCAGTATCAGCACATGTTCAAAAGTCAGGTGACTGCTGTCAGCAGCCCTGGGAATAATCCTCCCATGCTCTCCCTGTAATTCTCTCAAGTAAAATACTCCAACTACTCTCCGCAGTGCACTGCAGAATGCTCAGCAAGATGGATTATGCAGAGACAGGAAAGGGGCAGGATTTYTCAGAGAAACTATTCCTTTACTATTATGACAGCCAAGTACAGCAGGCAGAAGGAAAAARGTACCAAAAACATTGAGGGAAGGCAGCAGGAGGCTGCTCCATTATCATTTGTTGTATCTACCACCAAATACACATTAATATAGCAACCTCACTGCTACTCAGACCCTGTTTATGCTTTTACTCCCTAAATCAGGATGATTAATAGCACCACTCAGCAAAATAATAACATTTCAGCCCTGTAGGTCTATTTCAGCAGAACCTTTCTATCCCTGATAACCTTTTCACCAAGGCCTTTTCCAAACAGTTCAAATGTAGGGTGTTGTCGTCTTTTTTTTTTTAATGATTCTTTTTACTATAGTAATTTTGGGTACTTGCAGTCCATTTTTTTACTGAATGTGAGAAGCATATCAGATTAAGAAAACTAAGCAGCAAAAAGAAAAAAAAACCCATAAAAAAATCCCACACAAAAAAATTCAAGGCCTTTCTAGAAATGAAAAATACTATATAAATAAAGCTTCAAGGCTTCAGAAAACCAAAATGTTAAACTAGTGACACTTAAGAGTATGACTAAATATTGTTTGGAGATAAATTCAGTATATTCTAATCTAGGCATTACCAGAAGCTTTTGGGAGAACAGAGAATTAAATTTAGTTTCAATAAAAATACTGGARTATTCTGACACAGAATTTGTAGCACTGTCAAAACAGTAAAGATCAAGAGAAAGCAAAAGGTGAGAAATTTCAAGAAAGCCAGTGAGACCAACCTCTTATCTATCAACTATCATCTATGGCAGATGCCATTAATCTTTTTGGAAAAAGGCAAATGTTTAATCAAAGAACTCATGTTCTTTGTCCATTACCAAAACACCAGGCAAAATGAAGGACCTCAGGACTCTTGCTGTTACTAGGTAGGAAGACTGAAGATACAGAAACCAAGAAGTTAAATGTGGAGATTGGAACACAAAAGCCCCAGCAAACAAAAGATTGTATACTAACAAACCTGTCTGAAAATAATTGCATTAGAGGTGATGTTTTCAGAAAAAATTACTTTCTTTAAAATAGTCTTTGCTAATTCAAATGCAACAACTGTCTTGTTCCTCTGGGTAAAACATTAAACCTGGTCCCTGTAAACCATGGAATATTACCATGCTTTGCTGGAGTCACAGAAAAGAATTTCACCTCTGAACAGATCAAGTAACAACTACTGTAATAAATATCTCATTGCAGTTCAAAATAAGGCAGGTCAYGATCTCCCCACTCCAAGGAGTCCCCAGCTGTAACACAGAAACAAGATTTTCTCCCTTTCAGCTCACTGCAGAATAMTACTTAAAAGATTTGATTGTTTTCCTTTCCTGCCTTGTGATCATGGAACCAAACAACAAGTTGCACTTATTCACTGATCCAAAAGAAAACACTGAGTTGTTACTTTCTGTTGCACCCATGAACTAATCTGATTCAGTACTGGCAAGACTGGTGTATCGTAAAAACAATGGGCAGGAAAGCACCATACAAGAGAGAAAGGGAGGAAAGGAGGCAAACCCCCCCAGTTTGAAGCAGTCCACAATGCAGTGGACTCATGTAATTCATTTTAGCAATCTAAGGCTGAAATCACAATACATGATAAACTACAAGTGTCACATTTYCTATRGCAGTCATTTCTACCAAGACCCTTGGATCCTGACCATTGTTTGGGGAACTACATCAGGAATTTATATGCTGAAAAGAGCATCTCCAGATGAAAGGAAGCTCAGACACACCCATTCTTTGCTAGAGGTCATAGTGTGGCTGTAAAAGCAACTCTGCTGGCTGCAAGGCAGGAAGCAGCAGAAGTGCCCAAGGGTCAAAAGCAGCACAGKAAGATGCTTTCAGTCACAAAATGATGCTATCAGTGCTATCACTGGCCAAAGCATTGAGCACATTCCACTGCAATGCTATCATTCATCTCCACAAAACCAAAGGTGTTGAGATAAATGGTGTGCTGTCCGCAAATGCTCTCACATGCACACATTGCCACAATCGGAGATGTCAATAATCTTTTAGGAACAGTGTGCAAAGAACTATAACCCAGTCCAAGCAGGCTTGCTGCTCAGGCCCCACTCACGGGAACCACCTCTCTAACCAGTGAACCTTCCTTCCTTATTCTGTCACCCGAGCCATGCTACTGCCTCTGCCAAAACAGAACACCTGAGCCGAGTGCTCAGGATGTAGATGCAGATATAGGAGGGTGGCACTCACTGCAACACAGTATAATGGTGAAAGGATAAAGGATACTGCTCAGCCCCCACAGAAGGGCACAGCCAAACCCAACGGCATCAAGCATTGCTGCRGTGTTGCAGTAAGCAAAGACTGCCTTGTCCTGTGTTTTCTGTATATCAAAAGCATTTTGTCTAATGACATTATAGATCTTGCCAGGRGAGAGTCTCAAAAGCAGGTCTGAACAATATGTTTATGCCAAGGGCCGCAGATAAGATACCTACAATACAAAAGAATTCTTGGAGTAGGTGCTTTCTATCTTGCCTCCTATTCGAAAAATGTTTCAAGCATGCAAATTTGCAGTAAATACACAGAACCTCATGCTACAGCTCTGGAGAGCACTCAGGCACTAAAAAACACACCAACAGAACTGGGTGTGCCACAGAAACCTGAAAGCACTTTTGCATGCAAATATTTTCTTCCTTACAAAATAAGCACACTGCTGATTCCCCTTACTCAGAGATAGTAAGATGTTGTTGYAAGCACTGTTG